TATTATTTTGCTTAATGACACATTGAACTCAACATCTGAACAAGCAACAAGTCACAAGGCATCTGTAACTATTCATCCAAAGCCAAAGGATACAGCAATGAACCTCACATTCTTTTATGAATACATTTATTTTATTTTCAGGACATGATTCTTCTGCAAAACAGTTTTACTTACCGTTCTAATTTTACAGGTCAAATGGTATATTTTGTACATTTTAAACATTGTAAAGATCACTTTCAGTTTAATGGATTAATAGTGGAGATTAAATGAAGAAGAAGGAATTGCTCCACATGCACTTGTGTCATTACACAGCAAAATGCTGTGTTAAATGTTTAATGATCATCTGTCTATTTTACTATCAGTAACACAAGCCATATTTGTGTGAGTGTATATAGGATATAATACCTGTAATACCTGCGTGTGCTGGTCTGTGTCTTAATGGCCCAAAGAAAACAGAAATGTTGTAACACATACAGAACATCAAATCTCATTTTGTAAATGTATATAATACAGCATTTACTTAACACTGTATTTTAAATGCTGACTGTAGTGAGTCATATCATCTTTTCTTTTGTTAAATTATACATGTAGTGCAAATCTTAATAAATATTTGATTCGAAAAACACCTCAGTTTATAGAAAAAAGACACCATTTCGTTAAGGTCTCTTTTTGATATGTAATCGAGGAAGTTCCCCAATTGACTCGCATTACACTGACACCTAGTGGTTAAAATTAGAAAAACGCAAGTTGAATCTGTTAACGGCAACGGTTCGTTGTAGCCTACATACCAAATTTTAAAAAGTATTAGACTGCATGCTAATGATCTTAATAAATAATTATTTATTATGGATTATTATGTATGGCATCACTATGTGCTATCCTGTGGACGACATAAGCCATCAGAATTCAAATCCAACATGTTCCCTCTCATTTTGAATCAATTTCAAACTGAAAACACATATTTAAACTTTAGGAAATTCAGCAAAAGCATTTAATCAGTGAAGCTCTTGTATTATCTTGCATCATCTGTGAAATGGGTGTTATGTTGAAACAGAGCTGCTCCTTCAGGGTTCCAGTCCCCTATAGTTTCCTATTGCAAACTTATTAAAGACCCCCATCATCCCACCCATCTCTGACTAAGATCAATAGCTAGATCTAAATATCAATTAGCTACCCTGAATGCCCTTTATCAGCATGAGGTTTAGCTGACACAAGAGTGCCCAGTGCTTGTTAATGACATTCTTTTAACAGTGAAAATATAAATTATAAAAGTAAGTGGTGGCATGGTTTATAATACAACTAAATTACAAGTTTTTATTTTTTATTTTTTTTTTTTACATTTTTCTTTTTCCCAGGCAAATGGTTTAATACAGCTTGAAGAAAAATACAAGTAATCAAGCTTGTCAACATCTGGTGTGAAATGTATATATTCATCTGTATGTTTTTAGGAAATTTTGCACATATTTATGGATATACGAAAAGAAACCAAAGGAAAGAACCAGCTAAAACACCATTATATTATTCATTAAAAAGTATAATGTTTTTAATATTTTATTATCTATACAGGATGGTTTGTGATAGCCACTTCTTTTTGTCTAAATTAAACACAAACCCATTCAATATAGGCTAATAAACTACTGTGACAGGTCCTCTGACAAACATATGTCAGCCTACTGTGGTGAATGATGATTGAATGAAGGTGGAGTATTTCTATGATCAAGTAGAGGAATCAGATAGTTTTCATCAGGGGCGGATCTACCGGGGTGGCAACTGCCACCCTAAGAAAAAGCTGTGCCACCCCAGAATTATCACAGAATAAAATATAAATGTAAGCAGTGTTTCATGTGCTACTTTTCATGACTCTTATGAACCGGATCTTTTTGAGTCAAAACCACAAAGCGCGGCCCAGTTCACTAACGAATTGTTTTTACATTTGTTCGTGAATCAGATAATTACTGCTTTTCAGGTAATTCAGAAGTCCTCTGAGAAATCTAATCCCGTCCGGATATGTCTGAGATTCATCGCGTAATTGTTTGGTGATCCGATTCTCCGACCGCTCGCGGCTCGCTCTACTTTCATCATGGATATAAGCCGTAACAATAAAATGAAATCAATAAGAAGATGCCGATCACGTCCAGTGCGACCTTCACCAGCATGTGGGGTATTGAGCCATAGGCGTTGGTGAGGTCCAGCCACAGTACTGCCAGGTCCTCTCTACCTTCTCTCGCTTCTCTAATGAGCTGGGTTACCACACCCGTGTGTTCCAGACAACCTGGAACTCCTGGTATACCTCCCTTTTGCACAGACGTGTCGATGTACTTATTGCTCAACAGGAAGTTGGAGAACCTCTTAGCCACATTGCTAAAGAAGATTTTGCTCTCCACACTGAGCAAGGAGATAACCTGAAACTGGTCGATATTCTCAGACTTCTCCTCTTTTGGTATACACACTCCCTCAGCATACCTCCATGGCTGGGCGATCTTTCCTCTCATCCAGATCACCTTCTGGACCCTCCAAAGCAGATGTAGTATCTTTGGGCAGTTCTTATACACCTTGTAGGGCACTCCACTTGGGCCTGGTGCTGAGCTCGATCTTGCTCTCCTCACCACTTCCTCCACTTCCCTTAGGCGGGGCTCCTTCAGGTCGAAGTCTGATGAAGGCTCTGGTGGTGTTATCAGCGCATCACATGGACCCAGCGGTTGTTCTCTAATGGGGTCACTATAAGTGGCCTTGAGGTGGCCATTTATAGCATCCTTGGAGCAAGTGAGGCGGCCAGCCCTCTTTTGGCCAAGGAGCTGCTTGGTCAACTTGAATGGATTGGCCAAGAATGCTGCCCTCTTCCTGGCTCTCTCCTTCCGCCTCCTTCTGTGGAACTCTGCCCTCCGTAAGGTCAAGAGTTGTTTCCTTAGGATTGCTCTCAGGTCCGCTAGGCCGGCTCTCTCGACTTCCCCCGCTGACTTGTATTGCCTCTTTAGCAGCCTGAGTTCTTCCCTGAGGCACTGGATTTTCCTTGCTCTGTGGCTTGGAGCATATGCCGATGGAGCAGGCTTGGATGCCTCAGTTCCAAATCGCTTAGCTGCAATGTTCACTATGAGGGTGGTTATTGTTCTCAATCGGTGGTCCACATCCCCATTAGCTGTTACTTCCGGGACCTGGCTTACATCTTCATCAAATTGTTGCCACTCAGCTCTCTTAGAAGATTTGGGCCACTGAATCCTCGGCTGGACCAAAGGGGCACAACCAGTTGTTATGACTGCAGCTTGCCGGTGTTGTAGGCCCTGTGGGTTGTCGAGCGATACTGTTTCTTGGGTTATGGTGGCAAGTGAGCTGCTGGCAGCCGGTGTTGGCGACACTAGGAGGCTCTGGGCGCTGTGGGTTGCCTCCGGGCCTAGCTCCTCCTTCGTCTTACCAGAAGTCGCTTCTGTGCGTTGTGTCGTCGATTCCGCTGTCAAGCATCTCATTCTGCCTTGATGGATTTTTAAACCCCTTTCATTCTTCAGGTCCTGCCGCAGATGCACTGTATTGTCGTTGTCGTTATTCCTTTATCCTGTGTCGTTGTCCTTGAGTCCGTCCTATTGGGGTGCTCATCCTCCCCCCCTCTCGGGCACCCCTGGGGGTATCTTTCTTTTGTAGCTTGCTTTGGGTTCCTCCTTACGGAAGAAGTGGCTTGGGCTGCCAACCCTCTCCACCCCCGGGCTGCCGTCTCTCCGGCCGTCATCTGTCTCTCCAGATGTCACCACCCTCTTCGTGGTTGTCACCCAGTCTATTCCTGGTTGTCACTGGTGCTCCCAGAGTATTTCAGTTCACAGAATACATCTTCTGATGCACAACCTTGGACACATCATCAGTGTTGTTTCCAGGAGTCACTGGGTTTTTCGGGTCTTACAACAGACACCCTCGTCCTGGCGACCCGACCGAGGCTGATCAGACCCCGGCCTGTGGCCAAGTGGCATTTCTGCTGCCTCCTCGTTGTTACCTATGGCTCTTCTTCGGTTAACACCTGTTATGCCCAACGTACCGTAGGCCTTGCTTAAGGAGTGACTGGCAAACCCCCTGCTGCCCACCTCTACTGGCATACACCTGGTCCTCCATCCGTTCCTCCGACAATCCTCCACCAGTTCTTGGTATTTCTCCCTCTTTCTCTCTTGAGTCTCCTCCATTCTAATAGCAGAGTTAAGTAAGAAACTAATAGCACGGAAGTACGGAAACTAATAGCAGAGTTAAACATACAGTATAATTACAGTACATTAGATAATGGAAATGTCACTATTCTATATGTACAGTAAACTGTAGCACATTGTACACCTTCAAACGTGTGACTGTCAAATTTTATTTGCAACCATTTTTTTATGTGTACTGCATTTTTGCAGAACTGAGAATGACTGCCTAGTTAGGAAATTCAAAAGTTTTTGTTGCTCTTAAACTTGCACTAAACGTGATTATACCATCTAGCCTATGTAATTTTAATAGATACCGCATGTCTTCTTTAGTGATATAAGCTCAAAAACATTTATAACCTGTTGAAGTTTTTTATATTGTGCGTTGACTTGGTGCCATGATGGATATTGAAATGTTATTATTTATTTTTCATTTTAAACAGTATAGATGATTACTTAATGGTAATACAATATTTGTCAGACCATAAATCCCCAAAAAACTATGCATGGGGGCTTGCTTTGGTGTTGCCATCCCTCATAGACCCCATGCCACCCCTTTGCCACCCTAAAAAATATTTTCTAGATCCGCCCCTGGTTTTCATTACATAAAAGCATAATCTATATTTTTAGTTTTTTATTATTATTTTAAATAATTTATTACAGACATATGTATACTATTAAGATAAATATGTAATTATAGGTAAAATAACTGACAAAATATGTACAGCCCTCTCATTTAGTAGCCTAACTTAATATACTACACTTTAAATTTCTTTAGCCAATTATTAGAAGGAAGAACAAATATGAAATAATTTATTACTAAGATAAACAAGACATTTATGAAGTGATAGCTTTTTTCCAATTTTCTCAGGTTGATCACCTCCGCGTGGCCACCCGGTCCATGTGGCGTCAGTCCCTCCGCGCAGATCCCGGATGGAGCGGCCATTGGGCGGAAGTGAACAGAGGTGCACAATAACTGCGGGCTGGGAAGAGGAAAAAATATATATACACTTTGAAATAAATTTACACTCGGCGTGTGACAACGTTGGATTAAACCCCAAAACCGCAGAGCCTCTGATCCTCTCAGAAACATCCTCAGGCTGGACTTTTAGTGCGCTCGAGAGGACCGGATCGCCGAAATCAAGTCGTGGAACTTGCTGAAAAAAGCGCAGTTCAGCCTGCACGGAGCCGAGAGGAACCCACGGGCTTCGGGTTACGCCGAGCACCCTCGCTGTTGCTTCTTTTTTCTTTGCAAGACTCTTGCTGAATCTAAAGAGGCCCTCTTGATGAATTATGTCTACCACCAGTATTGACCCACAGGTAGGTTGGAGTGGCAACGGCGTCGCTAAGGCCTTTAGGAGGAGGAGCAGGGAATACGCGTGCAGCCTCCGCCGCTTTTGCGGAGACATTACGGGCATCTGCTTCTGCTTGCTTCACACAAGCGCGATGGCTAACGAGTTAGCATTTTTTCCACTCGTGTATTGAATATTACATCACGTTTCTTTGGTCTAAACAGACATTTCCGTTCGACACATCGCAAAGTGCGTTCTGCTCCAGTGTACCGTCAGGATAAAACTTCATTTGGTAACGTTATACAATCTCTCTCATCAGCTTCCGAGAGTTATAACCAGTTTTCTCTGGACTTGGGCTGATATGCGTGGTCGACGAAATGTTTAGCTATCCGGGTGAATGTCAATTCCTTGATTGACTAAATAAATATCAACTTAAGCCCTCGTTTCTATTTAATAACGAATGACGAGCGACTGCTGATAGTGCATTGATTTATTGGTGATGCTCTGATGGAGTCGATGTGGATTAAGAACATGAAACGTTGTGTAGTATTAACATGTTAAACACGAAGAGCTCGTGTTTAAAACAACAATATAAAGGTGTTAATGGTTTTATCTTGTTGTTTTTACCCACCTCTGATCATCTACTGAATGGGAAGACATCCAAAGGGCAAGACGCTAAAGGTAAGTTTGCTTTATAATATAGATGTCTATACAGGTTTAGAAATAAAACGTCCAGGATAGTCTCTTTAATTCACATTAAGTCCACTTTTACCAGTATTAATGCCTTTGGCTATGGCTGTTAAGTCAAGTTTGGGCATTAATTCACTGACTTATATCAATGCCTGGTTGCTGTGTTGCTCTCATATCATTCAAATAATGTTGTCTGAGAGCTCAATCACCTGATGGAGCCATATACCTCCTAGCAGTCCAGAACTGCTCCTGTTGGATTAACACCACTCTGACACATCAATTGGCAATGGGAGCTTGGCTTTTTAACACATTAAATTGATTATGCTTCATAATTCTGTAGCATTAACTACTGTAGTTGTGAATTTTTGTCCTTTGGCTTTGTGTAATTTTTAGATGCTCCTCTTCATCCATTGTCTGTAGTATTGTGGTAGTCAGACAGAACATGTAGTGAATGACTCACTGAGATCGTGTGGTGAAATACACATTACTGTAGTCGTTTAACATTTTTTGAAGATCTAAAATGTGAATAGCAGAGCTTTGGTAAAGTGATATCTTCCAAGAGACAGAGAAGACTGTTGGATTTAGCATGTGCTTTGAGTTTGTTATCAGATGTACAGGTCTGAACGGTAACCCTGATGTTTAACATCATGCTTTATTTCAGTGCAAAATGGCTCTCTTCATCAGAAGGAAACGGTCCACGACAATGACTTTGAACCATATCTCACTGGCCAGTCTAATCCGGTGAGAAATGTGTTTTTGTATTTGTCTTAGGGTGTGAAATGGAGGGAAAAACATTTCATTCAACATGTATTCTCTGAAAACATCTTATGTTTTTACAGTTTTGCTTCTCAGCTTAAAGGGTTAGTTCACCCCAAAATGAAAATTCTGTCAGTAATTACTCACCCTCATGTCGTTCCAAACCCGTAAGACCTTCGTTCATCTTCGGAACACAAATTAAGATATTTTTGATGAAATGTGAGCGCTCTCAGTCCCTGCATAGACAGCAACGCAAATGTAATGTTCCCAGGTCCAGAAACGTAGTAAGGACATCGTTAAAACAGTCCATGTGACATCAGTGGCTCAACTTCAGTTTTGCGAAGCTACGAAAATACTTTTTAAACGTAGGGCTGGACGATATGGCCTTCGAAATATCGGAAATGTGTTTAAAAATCATATCACCATTATTGAAAAAAATTATATCGCGATACATATTGATATTGAATTATTGTCCAGCCCTATTTAAACGCAAAGAAAACAAAACTAACAATTTATTTAACAATTGACCTATCGGTAAGCCCCACCCCCTTAGTTACTGTTGCTCACTCGGACAAACAAATGTTGCTCACTGTCTTAAAATGACAGCTGTCGGTGAAAACCTTCTTCCGAGGTATTTCTGATCAATTTGGGACACCGATGGACCTTCAAGTGGGACTTAAATATGCCATGGAGGTATATATAAAAGATATTAAAATAAATGTAAAAATACAGATCACAATGCAAACGGGAGAATTATTTTACGGGCGTCACGATCGCATTGACAACATGCAGGATCAACGCCGTTCATATACCGCAGAGTAGGGATGTAACGATTCACTCAACTCACGATTCGATTCAATTCACGATTTTGATTTCTCGATTCGATTCACGTTTTTTTTTTTTTTTTTTTAAAAAATGAGATTTAAGAAAAATTATAAATGCTCTTTTGTTGGTTTTGATTGCTTCTATTGTCCTCATTTGTTAGTCGCCTTGGATAAAAGCGTTTGCTAAATAACAAAATTTAAATATAATGTAAATGTAAATAACAAAACTAAATTTAAATTTTAAAACAAGCCAAAATCAAATAAATAAGTAACACGCATAAAATAAATCACTTCATATAAACAAACTAAGGCTTTGTCTGTGCTCTTAACATTTAAAATTAGAGGCAACCACTGCATTTTTACCGCAGAGTAAGATTAAATTAATTTACATTTAACCAGATTAATATGGAGAGGCACTCTATTATAGACCTTCGTTTATGCGTTTTTGACTTTCACTGCACGGTACATGACGTGAGAACAATTCGCTATTTAGGTTTGTACGTTAGCATGGACTCACTAACTTTACCGTTAGCTAGTTTTAGCCAGAGATACCTTGCTGAAGCACAAGATGACATTAATGTTCTGCTTGAGCAGATGAAAAGGTTAAGTGTTACAAGTACCCCAGGCACATCGTTTTTCCATTTTTGAAGCATAAACACTATCAAACCGATGCGAGCTTCGGATCGTCCAATGTTTTTCTATGGCGCTGAAAGCTAAAGATGTCCGAGTTCCGTTCACCTGATACTCGACTGCCATTGGCTCATCTGCGTTCGAGGGGAGGGGCTTACCGATAGGTCAATTCTTCTCCCCCGAGTTACGTCTTCTGCCATTTTGGAGAGTACCCAAGAGCGTAATCGACGTAATCAGCATTGTTTATGTTTGGGGGAGAAAGCGTGCATGAACATAATCTGCGTAATCAGCGTTGTTTACGCTTAGGGGAAAGCATGCGTATGCGTTGTGATACTCTAAAATGGAGAAAGATGTAACTCGGGGGAGAAGAACTGTTGAAAAAATTGTTATTTTTGTTTTCTTTGCACTCAAAAAGTATTCTCGTAGCTTCGCAAAAGTGAAGTTGAGCCACTGATGTCACATGGACTGTTTTACCGATGTCCTTACTACGTTTCTGGACCTGGGAACATTACATTTGTTCCCTGCTGTCTATGCAGGGTCTGAGAACTCTCACATTTAATAAAAAATATCTTAATTTGTGTTCCGAAGATGAACGAAGGTCTTATGGGTTTGGAACGACATAAGGGTGAGACAGAATTTTCATTTTGGGGTGAACTAACCCTTTAAGCATGTTTTTGATATTTTTAAGAAAACAAAATACTGAATATGCTTCTTTTTTTTTTCTTTTTTCAAGTGCATTGTCGTTGTAGGCTTGTGCATGTAAAAACAGTATTTTTAAAGTAGAATTACTTTATCTGTCTCTGAAATAACTGTTATGCTGTTTTTACTGAGGAAGAGAGGAATAATAATAACTAACTAGGTTTTACATTGGGAAATTTGTCTGTACATTAAAAAAAAAAAAAAAAGTAAATAACTTGTAATTGCGGCAAGGGAAAATAATATTAACCAACTAGGTTTTACCTAGGTTTTTAACTCTGGGGAAGTTTTTTTTTTTTTTGCTAATAAATTACCTCACCCACAGTACATTACTAAAAGGAACTAGTTGTACAATATACTACGTCATTGCTTTTAAATTTGTTCTGGAGTTTAAATTAATTTCCTTATAAGTGTGGAGTGTTTGCTAAGATTCAGGTCTGCTCTGTTTTTATGCTGTTTGAAATTAGTTGGCATTTTCTCATTATTAATTCTAACAATTCTATTTTTGTTTATCCCGCAGAATAACAGTTACCAATCAATGACCGACCCATACCTGTCTAGCTACTATGCCCCCTCGATTGGGTTCCCGTACCCCCTCAGCGAAGCCCCCTGGTCCACTGGCGGAGATCCGCCAATCCCGTACCTCACTCCTTACGCCCCCCTCAGCAATGGGGATCATCACTTCATGCATGACACTGTGTTCGGACAGCCAGGGGGTCTGGGCAGTAGCATCTATCCACACCGCTTTAACTTTTTCCCTGAAAACCCAGCATTTTCTGCCTGGGGTACAAGCGGCTCCCAGGGCCAGCAGACTCAGAGTTCTGCTTACGGGGGCAGTTACAGTTACCCGCCCAGTTCATTAGGTGGCACCCTGGTACCCGATGGGCAAACGGGCTTCCCAAGCGACACCCTGAATAAGGCGCCCGGTATGAATAGTTTAGAGCAGGGTATGGTAGGGTTGAAGATTGGCGGTGATATGACTGGAGGTGGGTCCGGAGTGAAGACGGTGGGCTCGGTGATCGGTGGAGGGCCGGTGGCCACGGGTAACGGCGGGACTCCAATCGGGATGCCGCCTCCCAAACCCACGTCCTGGGCAGCCATTGCGAGCAAACCGGCCAAGCCTCAGCAACTGAAAGTCAAGAGCAAGCCGGGGATGCCCATGGCTGGAGGCACCCTGCCCCCACCACCCATCAAACACAACATGGACATTGGCACCTGGGATAATAAGGGGCCTGTGACTAAAGTGGCCTCACCACTGCCACCCCACCACCAGCAGCAGCCTCTGCTCCACTCCCAGGGTCACCTACCGCCTCACCATCACGGGCTCCCGCCCCCACCTCAGCCCCCTATACCGTCTGCCCAATCACTTGCTCAGCAGATGGCGATGCAAGGTCCGCCCCCTCCACAAAATGAGCCTATTTTCAAAAATAGTGGAGTGTTCCTTTAAGATTTAGAGATGCATATGCTGAAGGAAAATATTTCTGTTTAGAGGTGAATGACCATAAGTAGTGATTAACCAAAGAACTTTGAACAGCATGTGAAGGGTTCAGGCTACTGTTCATGTCACTGAAACTGCCAATGTAAAGGTTTCAGCTGATTTAAAAAGCCATAGATCATAGATACTAGGGATGCAACAATACAGTTAGCCCACAGTTCAATACATACCTTGGTTTTTAACTAGTGGTCGACCGATATATCGCCAAGGCCGATATATCGGCCGATATTTGCCATTTTTCAAATATCGGCATCGGCCGATAAATTTTTCTGTTTGGCCGATGTGTTCGAGGCGGGACTTTTATGTTGACCGCGCTGAGAACGGCAGTGCCTGAGCACACACCGCTCACATTCTCCCCTGTTTTTATACAGTCTATGATTCTCCCTCTTGTTCGCTGTCGTCGTTAACCGTTCTGTCTAAATACGGATAGAAGTCTATCTAATAATCAGATAGAATTAATTAGATTTTTATTAAATATTTATTTATTTGTGAAAAATGCTTTGTCTTCTAAAGTGTAAGTATGTTTATTTTACACAATTATTTTTAATCCATTTTCAAATGATTTCAAATTTCTTAAATGTAAATAAAATTATATCGGCCATCGGCCACCCTGCTTTCCAAGATATCTGCATCGGCTGTCAAAAAAACCAATATCGGTCGACCACTATTTTTAACCACTGTTTTTTGTTCGGTTCGGTTCTGATGGCTTGGCACATCGTAGTGTTTTTTTGCAGTTTAAAATGTGATTTTTTTAAAAAAACAAATTAACAACAAAAACTTCCTGTGAACATCTGTATAATGGAGAAAGATGTGGATTATTATACGTCTACTTAAAATTTCTTTTCAGAGAGGTATTATTTTTCCTGTTTTTACCCAAAATAGGATGGATTGGCCATTATTGAGCACTGCAAACACATGTAATGTCTGTTTCATTCATACTGGTAGCCACATATGCATCACAAAAGTAATAGAACTCATGACGTTCCAGGAAATCTTTAATGGACAAAGGCATTGCTATCGCTGTAACGGAATAAAAAGAAGATACAAACCTTTTGAATGATGAAATAAACACTATAAATACTTGACTGCGACAATATTTAGTTTGTCTGTGTTCTTCAAGCCATCTTGGGTATTTTCATAATCAGTGTTGGGCAGTAACGCATTACTTTGTAACGCGTTACTGTAATTTGATTACTTTTTTAGTAACGGAGTAATTTAACGCGTTATAATTTTCAAAATAGTAATTGGAGTATAGTTACAAGCCGAGGTCTCCATACGTTTCTGCCGCATTACATTGCTGACAGAATGCAGTGTTTTATAATCTAGAGACCTAAAAAGGATGTAGCACAGGCACTGTCGAGTCAAGTGCCAGTGGATCAGAGACCTGCTCCCGCGAGACCCGACGCAACAGAGTGCGGCGCGGGACAAGATGGGCGAGTGCTGGTGCGGGCGGGTAGACACTCGTGTGTGTGTGTGTGTGTGTGTGCGGGATGCGGGAGAATAAAATGATTCACGGGACTCCTGCTCTCCCGCGAGACCCGACGCAACAGAGTGCGGCACGGGACAAGACTTGATAGGCGAGTGCAGAGACTCGTGTGTGGAGAATAAAAATGATTCACGGGACTCCGCGAAATAGAAATATCTAAACATAAAATATCTAAAACAAATAAATTATTCATCTATTGCACAAAAGAACTAATATAAAATATAAACGATTTACAGGTGCAAGCGTATGCAGAGTTTCTATTTAGGCTATAACACGTGTTTGCAGCGTTGAGCAATGCAGTGCTGAAATTTGCGTGCTCACGAATCCTCTCATTATAACACACGAATTGTAGACATTATGAAAGATTCATTATGCATATATTTATTGTGTTATAACAGAGATTTGTGAGATTGCGATGAACTGAGATGTCTTTTAGAGATTATAAATGCAGTGCTCTTTGCTGGCATTCTGCCATGCCAAACCATGCACGCAGCAGCCGCTTGCTTTAGTTAAAAATAACAGTGTTCTGTGAATGTTGATGCTTTAATAACAAATATTTATTGGGAGCGTGTATGCTGGGATTTCATAAATTTCATGGAGAAAAAAAGTAACGTAACTAGTAATGTAACCAATTACTAATTACTTTTGAAATAAAGTAATCAGAACAGTAACGTGATTACTTTTAAAAGGAGTAATCAGTAATTTGATTACATTTTCAGAGTAACTTGCCCAACACTGTTCATAATGATTAAATATATTTGTAATCAATTGCTAATCGACACAGCCTTTATGACAGTATAGAATATATTTTCTGCCTCATTCTGTGCTAAGAAGCCACATCAGATCGCAAAACAAAGTTATTTCAAACACACGACTGATGTTGTGAAGTACAAACAAGTTATCATGTTCTCTTTTTTTGATGGACAACCGGTTTAGAAACACTTCTCATTGCAAGCCATTACAAGGGAAGGTGTTTGGCGTGTTGCTTTTTCAAATGCACATTATAAGTGGGTTTCCTCATCTCAGCACGTAGACCAGGGTTCCTCAAATCTTGCCCTGGAGGGCCAATGCGCTGCAGAGTTTAGCTTCAAGCATGATCAAACTCGCCTATCTGTGATTTTCTAATGATCGTGAAGACATTGATTAGCATGCTCAGGTGTGTTTGGTTAGGGTTAGAGCTAAACTCTGCAGGAAAGTGGATCTTCTGGGCCAGATTTGAGGATCCCTGACGTAGACTCACAGGCACAACAAACAGAGCCAATTCTGAGAGAAATAAAGCACACGGAAATTATAAAATGAAAAACCGCAATTCGCAAGTGTGTATTGAACCGTGGATGACATACCGAACGGTTCAATATTATTTTGAGAATTGTCACATCCCTAATAGATACCTAGTTGTTTTTGGAATGGTTGATGCTCTTTGCTTTTGCTGTTGATGCTTCAGTTATTTCATTGTTCTGTCTTTGATATTTCATTCAGTGGTGGTTTTTAATACTGTGAGTGTGATGCTCTTGCTTTAGTCAAGCTGCTAATAAAATTTTATTTTATCAGTAAGATTTCTGGTTGACAGTAAGCAAAAATGCACGTCTTAAACTGGCTCCACTTTGCTCATTTTAAATGTGGTTTTATTCACTGTACATTTTTTCTGCTTTTGACTGGTTATGGTTAATTTGGCAATGTTTTATGTTGAGTATTTAATTATTGAGATTTTTATTCAACAAGAATTTAAGAGAGTGCTGATGTTTTTGATTTGTATCAAAGGATTATTGATTTTAATCTCTTTCTCTCATCTCCACTGACAGAACCTAGAGCCTGCTCCTCTCCAGAACCGATCCCGACTTGATCAAGTAAGCTTTTCTTTTTTTATTGTTTTCCAGGTTTGACATGGTTATGGAAGATTTGGAAATGTCAGAGACATTGACCAAGTTTGGAATGTTTTGTGTTTATGCACAAATCTAAAATATTTCACTGGCTATGCATTGCACCTTTTATTGAAGATAACTTTCATCTTGCTGCTCCTGTAACACTCATTTGACTTTGAAATATATTCTGTTAAACTCTATTGTTTAATCTCATACAACAGTTTTACTTCCCTAAAATTTCCTAAAGATTATTCAAATGTGTAGAGGAAATCTTTTAGAATTTTGCTTGACAATTAGGGCTGCCACTAACGACTGTTTTTTATTTAGATTAATCTATTGACCAATTTAGCAATTAATCTAAACGATTAATTTCCCGCAAAAAATCAACAATTTTACTTAAGAATATTTTATTAAACTATATTTTATTAAACCAAATGAAATCCAAATTTCTATGAAATCCTTTTTTTAAAGCAAAAGTAAAGTGCAACATAAAGTGCAAGAAGCAAGTGTCCATCTCATAGTCCAAATCACTGAAATCAAAGTTCAGTATTATAGTGTAAGAATGACAACATATCCACGTGTTCTAGTCTACTAATAATAAAATTATCATCAAAAAACACTTTTTAAAGGAGTAT